ACACACACACATATATATAAAACACTATTGTGTGTTACTTGTTTAGTCCTTTTGGTATCAGCATTCCTGTTTAGGTTGTGTTTTTGTTTGCAGTTTTCCATAAAAAGAATAACTTGGACATTATCTGCTAAAGATGGGGAATCTCCTACTTATGGGTCTAACACAGCCACCAGGAGTCCATTCAGCCTGCAAGCCAGACCTCAACCCAGCCTCTTTACACCCAGACCAGCAAGTATTATTTGTTCTTTTCTGTGATAAGGGAATGGAACTCTTGAGAGAAGTGGTTTCTCTCCTTAAAGCACTACTCCCTGACATCATCCAACTCACTGGAGCAAGTGTAGAACAGAATTCTATCTTTAGATACAGTTCTCCATCTCTGATAGAAGACAGGAGATTTTGACTGATTATAGATTTTGATACTACCCCAGGATACTGAAGAAACTAGGAAAGATGATTGCAAAGACTGCTGTCAGTAATCTTTGAGAACTCCTGGAGGACTGGTGAAGTCCCAGAAGACTGGGAGACAGCAAATGTTATTCAGATCTTCAAAAAGGTGAAGAAGAAAACTACAGATCTGTCAGCTTGACAACTATACTGGGAAAAGTCTTCAGACAGGTTATCAAGCAGGATGTTTGTGAGCACTTGGACAGGCTGGAGTAAGCAGGAACCAGTGTGGGTTGTCACAAACAAATCATGCTTGTCTCTGATAGAATTACTAGCTTAGTAAATCAAGGGAATGCCATAGACAGTGTACTTGGACATCAACCAAGATTTCACCAGAATCCCTGATGATATTCTCCTTTATGAAATGGTAAAATATGGAGTATATGATACCACTGTTAGATGGGCTCACAGTTGGCTGAATGATTGCATCCTAAGAGGGCTTACTAATGGCTCCATTTCATATATGGCACAGTGCTATATCTTAAGCCCTGTGCCTCCATTTTTATCAGTGACTAAGATGAGGGAGTTGAGAGGACACTTATAAAGTTTGAATATGGCACAGAACTAGGAAAGGCGGCTAATATTTTAGATGAAAGAAACAAGATTCAAAAAGTTTTAGATAAGCTTAAGCAGTGGCCGATGTGAATAGGATGGAATGAAACAGGGAGAAATGTAAACTTCTGCATCTGAGTAACAAAAATGTATGGCATAAGTATAGGATGGAGGAGACCTAGCCTGGCATTAGAAAAAACAAAAAGGATCTGGGTGGCCTTGTTGGCCACGTTATACTGTCTTGAAGTGCATTAACAGGAGCATAAAGCCAAATCATGAGAAGTAATTATTCAACTCTGCTCTGCCTTGGGCACATTTCAAAAAGTTCAGTGACAAATTGGAGCAAGTTCAGAGGAGGCTACCAAGATTTTTAAGGGTCTGGAAACCAAGTCCTATGAGGAACATTAAATTATCATGGTATATTTAGCTGACAGAGAAGATGACTAAGGGAGGATATGCTAGCAATCTTCCATAACTAAATCCAGGTGCCCCCTCCATACTAATGTTTTTTTAAGTTCTCTTGACTGCATTCATATTTATATTTAATTTTTTGTGCTGTTTTAAATGTTGGCTGTTTTTATTGCTGTTAGCCGCCCAGAGTCACTGATCTGAGATGAGCGGCTATAGAAATTGAATAAATAAATAAATAAATAAATAAATAAATAAAATAAACAGCTGTACCATCAAAGAGGGTGTGGACATTTTATCTATTGCTGCAGAGGGCAGGGCAAGAACCTTGTAAACCTACAAGGTAGGAGGTTCAGGCTAGACATCATGAGGAACTCCTAACTGTATGAGCTGTCAGCTGGTGAAACAGGCTGCTACCTGACATGGTGAGTTCTTTGCTAGAGATTGTCAAAAAGAGGCTGAATGGTTTATCAGGGAGACATGCTATAACAGATCCTGCTCTGAGCAGATTAGACTAGATTCTGTCCATCTCTTTGATTCTATAGTACCACTTTTCCTTTCTCAGACCTAGTACATTAGAGCAGTTTCTTTCAAGGAATAATTCTAGCAACCAATGTGATTTTACAAATGTGGGCTTTTTGGGATGCATATGTCATCATAGGAGAAGAACCATTCTGTTTAAAGAATCAAAAACCATTCTTATCCAAGATAAAGAAAAAAACAAATCAGGACAAGCCTTTTCTGCCTCCTTTGGGAATATGGTCCAGTGCAACAACAACAAAAGAATCCATTGAACTGTTCATTGGACAGAAGGGTGGGTTAGCTCTGCTTCTGGAATATGTATAGTGGGCAAGGTTCATTCCAGGAAAAGAAGAAACAAAACTCTTTCTTCAAAGAGACCCTTGCTGCAGTGGGCACATAAGTCATTTTTACAATTATAAGATGGACAGTTGCCACCTTAAAAAGCAAGTCCAACCTCCTCTGTTCCCAATATAGATTTTTTGCTACCACTGGAAGATATAGCATAGCAGAGGTCATTCCTAACTTAGGCTCATCATAGATTCATTGAGACTGAAAAACCCAAATTCACTTACAGCAGTACCTATGGCAGAATTTTTAATCTCCATTTAGGATGTGACAATTCTCATCTCCAGCATTTTTTTTTTTTGGGTGGGTGAGGGGATAATCTGCCTTCTGGGATGGAAATTCTAGCAACTGTATTTCTAAATCAAGTTAAAGCTGCTTTAGAACCTAAAATCAATTGTATGATTCACTGCAGTCAGATGTGAATATATTTTCTACTAGCATAACAGCATGAATTCTGGGGACAGCATTTCCTTCTGCTGCTACTGGAATTTTAAAAAAATTGTAATGGTTTTTCCTTTTTTATTTTTATTGAAGAGTATTGATGTTTGCTTGTTTTTGTTAAATATAAGTAATACCTTTACAATAGAGTTGTCATCCTTTCCCCTTTTGACAGGTGTTATAATACTATTAGTTCACCATCTTATATTGTATTATTGGGTCAGTAGAGTTATACTATATGTAAAGCTCATTGTTCACATTTGTAGTGCCCCTCAAGAAGGATATTAATTAAAAACACTTAGGGATTATTATTATTACTATTACTATTACTATTATTATTATTATTATATTTTTGTGGACCCTTGAAATTTCCTTCCCCGATTTCCTTCCCTACCCCCTTCTCTCAATGGAAGAAACACACTTCCAATGAATGCCTAAGAACCTATTTATACTGTAATCTGTAGCAGTTCGTTGTATCAGTCCTGCTGGGAAAGATGAGATACTCGGTCAATTATCAAAGCAACTAGGATGTTAAGTGCTGCCCTAAAACCTTGTCAACTGATGGGCAAATTACAGTCTTTTTCACATAAAGAAAATGGATGCCAGCAATGCTCTAAGATACTCATTTTGATGATGAATATGGAGGCAGCCTTCCTGCCAGAGTCAACAGCCTCTCTTCATTCTAGTGCTTTGATTTAGGAAAGCAGAAATAGTCACCATGGAGATATAAAAACATATATAAATACTGCTGCCCTGTAAATGACATCTATCAGCTGAAGAGGACTAATATTCAAGGGTGGAGACAGTGGCAATTAACTCCCTTTAAAATATACGCTTAGGGTTACTATAACCAGACTGTAAAAATCCTGAGGATCACTAGATAGCTGCCAAGAGATTCAGAAAACCCAATTTCTTTGTTGCCATCTAGTAATCTGGATTTTTGCAGCCCAGATCTGATAGTACCATATATGCCAACCAAATAAACCTAAATTCAGGAGGTACAAAAGGATAAACCTCTTGATGCTGTGCATGCCGAGCAGATACCAGATGAGGAAACCCACAAGAATTG